CCTCTTACACCTATAAATTTCCAAAACACGCCTTCAGATTCTGATAATGATGAAGATAATAGTGGTAGTTATGATAAAGTAGATAATGCGTGGTATTATGCATCAGAAAAAAAAACAGGCGCTAGTAAATGAAAAGTTGTCTTCAAAATCCAGCTAGCCTAAAATGTATGACGAGCTATTGCCAAAACTTTCACTGATAATACGTAAAATATGTCTATCTTGAAAGACTCAAAAGGAGAAGTCAAAAAAGATGAGTGGTTTTCATCCCTACAATACTTGAATGCTAGTATAAATAACTTACCAATCTCTGAATCTTTTTTAGATAATGGAAGTGAATTTGATGGATTTAATTTAGCTACTGGTGAAGTACTTGGATGAAAAGTTGATAAGCCTTTCAAATTCGCTGTAAAAGGTAATTCTGATCATATCTTTGAAGTACTAGAATGGTATACGAATGTAGCGGTCACTCTAAATGACATGAAAGGAAACACAATCATCACTATTGTTAGAAATTATGCTTGTATTAATAATGGTGAGTCCAATCCAATGCTATAGTTAGGTACGACAGGAATTTGAAAAGTCAAAGGTATTTTTGATCTGACTAAAAATTAGTTTCGCATAGAGGATCATGGAAAGACATATATTATCCCAACTTTTAGCAAGGCTCCAGTAGTCAAGGATTTGCCAAAAGAGAACCACATGACTCCTCCTTGACTAGCGAAAATAGTTTAAAAAAAAGTGTGTAAACTGTGTGAAGCTTGAAGAACGTCTTGCAAAAGCTGAAGAGTGGCTTGGTAAAGCAATAAGTGCTATAAAAATACTTGCTGAAAAGAAGTAAGTTAATTAATATCATCCATTTGTTTTAATACTTCTTCAAGTTCAGATCTCATTTTAGATATAATATCAGTATTATCAGTGATATTAACACTGCGCTGTGAAAGTACCTCTGTCTTCGTCTCAGTAGATGCTACACTTATTTTACCTGTTTTCTTTTTTTGGCTATTTTTCTTCAGTGGTAAGGTAGGTGAAGAGGAAATAGCAGGAGGTGGGTCATAGTTTACTACAGGTAAACACCCACCTGCATAAGTAGTATTAGAAATATCAGCTATTGGTTGATTCCAGGCAATTCTA